ATTCCAGTGTACCAGAGAATTGTCGACGATTCTGCGTGTAATGAACTGGAGCGGCGATACAGCATACCAGCTCCAATGATACATACCATTTTAAATTTATCTGTTAGTAAAAAAAAATATCAACTTTATAATTTATACAATAGAGTACCGTTCTCCTTTCCCACTGGGAGCGCAACGTGTTCTCTCAGACGAAAGTCATGTCAAATTCGTAACATGGTTCACGTATGACTCGTCGAGGTAAACCTCTGGACAAATCGGATTGTTGCGAAAATCTCGATTGGCCAGCCTTTCTTGCAAATAGGTTGCCCTATATACAACGTCGTGGCTGCTTTCCGCCATAATATGACGATGCTCTCCTTGGATACAGGAAAACCCTAACCTACGCAGCAGTCGACGCATTGTACGCACCGATATAGTAACCTTACAGTTTGCAGTAATCTCTTGAATATGTCCTACTGTAACTGGAATCAGTGCTAAATTGCTTGCGTTTATAAACTGTCGAACGACGGGTGCGACAACATCCTTGTCGTACATTGGCTTGGGACCACGTGTTGATGGTTCTTGCCGCGACTGTCACATTCATAAGTTGTTAGAGGATAACTGATAGGTTGTAGTTATGAAATTTAGGCACCGACAGCGTCAAACATCGCGTCACCAAGCTTGTTGTACTCCGCCCACACACGCTTCACAGTATTTACAGAGACTCCAATTCAAGCAGCGACACGATTCCGCGATCGCAAGTTTCCTCGCAAATGTGCCCCGGCCTCCACGTCCATATAAGTGTAACATCATGTGCTTCTCAGCACCGTTGAATGCGTGCCGCTTGAGTTTTCCCACAGCGCGTCTCTCCTGCCCCTGTTGCATGATATAGATCGTTTTGCTTTCTGTGAAGTATTTGCGGGTCTGATCGTTTTTAAACGTCACCATAGTTAGGGAATTATGACTTAAACTAGCCAGATGTTATAATTCCCGGGCCCCTAACTACAATGCTTTTTCTGCATCAACTTAATAAAGCTCTACCAGTCCAACTCTCTAGTCAGGGACAAAATCGTGTTCTTAGTACACATTGAGTTTTGAACACGGGAGGGGGGGTTAACTCGATCTTAAACAGCGACAGCGCTCATGAGATGTAATTTATCTAATCGTATCACGGTTGCACTGTGTGTTGTTCCTTGTGCCGATATATATGTGTTACTACCACCCTTCGGACTAAATCCGCCGCAATGGCTTAATCTCAGCTAATTTATAATACTTACTCCCCTCATGCTTCCGCAAAATAAATCCCGTTTAGTAATTTACATACCCAATTTTAATCAACTATAATATATCTGGTGCAAAGAGCAGTTTTTCTCGACTAGTATGTGATTGATTATGATCTTGTAACGATTTGCGTTTTGCCATTTATAGGATGTCGTGTACTATAATTATTATGCGTATGTTACTACCCTTACTC